GGAGCAGGCCTAAGCCAGCAGGTCGTTATCTCCCGAGGGTCCCAGACTGCGAGAGGGCACAGGCCGGGCTGAGGGACCCCTCCTCCCCTTTGAGTGCACAAATTTTTGTGCACCCGGCCTCTAGTGTGTGTGTGTGTGTGTGTGTGTGTATAAATGTTTTCCCTAAGTGGCAGCCCTGACAAACTTTAATTTTTTGTGAGAATTTTCAGCTGAAAATATTCAAGAACACCCAAATTGTGAGTAATATATTTATTTTTATAATATTCATTGCAAAATGATTTTTTAAATTATTTCAAAATATCATGGTGTGTGGAGATGGTTTCTGTTTTGGTCGCGTGGCAGTTAACTGGTTAAATTATGCTTCCATTTTCACTAGTGATTATGTTAACAGTTTAAATTTAGCATTGCCCAGCTGGTATGGCTCAGTGGTTGAGCATCGACCTATGAACCAGGAGATCATGGTTCGATTCCTGGTCAGGGCATATGTCCAGGTTGTGAACTCCATCCCCAGTGTGGGGCGTGCAGGAGGCAGCCAAACAATGATTCTCATCATTAATGTTTCTATCTTTATGTCCCTCTCCTTTCCTCTCTGAAATCAATAAAAACATATTTTCAAAATTTAGCGTTGTCTTTCAAGTGAAAGAATATACTATCTTCATTCTATTTTTAACAAGCGGGGAATGCAAACATTAAACAATACTATCATGATCTACCCATTCCTACAGAATACCAATTGTGGTAACCCTCAGATTGCCTCACTTAACCATGTCATATTCTGTTTTGTTTCCCAAAGAGAAACTCCTGTAGTAACTATGGTGTTCACATGATTGCCACTCTCCAGTCTATCTCAGACTCTCTTCCTTCTCACTCACTCTGCTCAGTGACATTGACCTTCTGTCAGTTCTTGGAATGCAATATGTAGTACATTCTGCTCTTTCTTGTTTGAGAATTTTTGTACTCTTCTTCCCTCTGAAATTTGTTTCCCTGTTTGTTTTGCTTTTTTATGTCATGGCTAGATAATTGTATTTTTCAAGTTTTACTTTCTATGACCATCTCATTCAAAATAGAAACCCCTCCCACATCCTCCTTCACAATACTCTCTCTGGTCATTTCTATCTTGTCCTTCAGGGTTTATCGAAGTGTTAAGCACGTGCTCAGTAAATATTCGATGAATGGGTAAATGATTAACTAAAGAGAACTAGAAGATCATCTTATCTCGTACACTTAATCTGTTTTCAAACTGTCCTTTTACAGGATTCAGTTACCTAGGAAAGAAGCACTATACTCTTTAGCCAGCAGCGCTTGACTTAGTGTCTTATTTCCAGAAACTCTGGGTAATATTCACTGTGTTCTTCATATTTGTGAGAAACACAGAAACCTGAGAAAAATCTTGAAGAATTATTTGGGAATCAAGGTCTCCTGAATCCTCTGTGTGGACTTATCTATCCAGTGCTGATCAATGGAACTCTCTGTGATGATATATATGGTTTACATCTACACTGTCATATGGAAGTCTCACTCAAAATGTGTGCAGTGAGACTAAGGAACTGAATTTTAAATTTTACTTAATTTTAATTTAAATAGCCACATGTGGCTAGCAGATGCTGTATTGATAGCACAGTTCAATACTTTTCTCTCCCAGTGGTATAAGACGACAGTCACTACTGGTCAGAGAAAGCCTGCAAGTCTGGCTGGGACCTCCAGGTAGAGTCAGGGGCTGTGGGGAAAGTTGGAAAAGGGAAAATAATTGCTTTGTTTCCTCAACCGTCAGAAGTATTATACCTTAGAAATGTAAAACAAGGAAATTAAAATTTGTTGCCTAGAGTAAAAATAAGTGAGTGATCCAGTAGAGAAGGTATGAATTCTGTTTATCATTTGGTACATACTCTGTTGTACAGAGAATGAAAATACAAAAAATATTTGTATTTAGGTTTTGGAGTTGTTTTTTCCACTTTATTTAATTTAAATCCCAATTTTCAATAAAGCTTTTAAAAGGCTTCATAATAAAACGTGCTTTTAAGTACCTTATTTTTATGTAGGTTCTAAAAATACAAACCTTTAATCAGTTTAGCTCAAGATAAGGTAGATTTAAAAACACACTGCAGTCTGAACTGATTTTTTAGAGTAATAAAAGCCTCATGAAACTTTTTACCTTAAGAATTGTCATTTTAAATTCTTAGCAGGTCTGTCATTTAAATCAGGCACTGTGCAATTTTTCTATCATATATATATATATTCATTCCACTCTCTTCTGCTTTGTGCTCTGCCCAGCTTCAGTTTTTTATCTCATTCTCCAGTGCCCTCCTAAGCTGGCTCTTCTTACTGAAAAATGCCTAACTCATTTTAAAGATTAAAGATTTTTTTTAAAAGAAAGATTATCTAAAATTTGTAGAGAAGCTAACCAGAATACCATAAACAATGCCGCCAAGGATACTTCCTTATGAATAAACACTGGTTATTTTTAGAGGCATTTGGATTGGTCAGTTGGCAGACAGAGCACAGTGGCAATACTCAATGGCATTGGGAACTGATTAGGATTTATAATAGAAAATGAGGGTAGGCAGCAGAGCTGGTGGGAAGAAAAAAATGGTCACCTTTCTTTTCTTTTTAATCTTTTTGGTTCTCTCATCTCATTCATGCCCCAAATTTAGAGGTAAAATTTAAGCTGGGAGTGATAAAATACAGACTTTGTCTAGTGTCACACGACTTCTGAGAGCACTGACATACTCCCCTAGACATTAAGCTGCTAAGATAAAGTGATTTATTTTTGACTCTAAAAATACCAAGTTTTAATCCATGTTTTCATATAACTGTGTAATGAACTAAAAAAATATAAAAAAATGGCATTTAAAAATAGCTGAATTTCTCTAGTTGCATCCAGTACTTGGATTATATTTTACTGATAGTACTTACTTGAGGTTTTTCTACTCATGGCTCTACTATATTCTGCAAAGCTTATAATAGTTAAGAGAAATAGAGAACCCATGAAGGGACACATCAAGACTGTGTGCTTTATCTAACATGTCACTGTCAGCATCAACAACAGAGCGGTTTTACTATGTCAAGATGTAATAAGGTATATTATTATAACCATCATCACTTGGTTTATATGTTGTAATCAATTATGGCACATTTATGGTAAATAAAATTATAGAATCAAAGTAAAAACTAATGGAAAGGTTAATATGGTGCTGGTTAGTAGAAAATAGAAAAAATAGTTTGTTGCTAGGATTGAATTTAAACCAGGCATATTCATAGCATACAATTCAAGGGGGCAATAAAAGTATGAATTAGTTAGCCTTAGTAATCTATTTTAAAAAATTATTATCTAGGCACTAAAGAATCACGATCATTTGTTATGTAACATGTTATCTTTGTAAGCAACTACAAAATTGTTTATTTTCTAGAATCAAAATACATTTTTTTATGTTAGTACAGAAAGTAAGATATAAATTTATGTTCCACAAGCTTTCATTAGTGGAGAATTTTGATGTAACAACAGAGAATTAATATTAATTACTATTAAAATTTAACATCAGTGAAACTTTAAAACATGACTGAAAACACTGACTTATATTCTCATGATTAAAACATTTGACTTTGAAATTGAATATTCCTGATTACATTTAGTATTTTATATAAATTGCAGTTTGGAAAATTACAAAGCAAAACTTAAATGAGATAAATAAATACTTGGAAATCGTTATTCTTTCTTTCTTCTACATGTGATTCAACCCCTATATTCACGAGAATATATATAGTAAAACAAAAAAAGCAAATTCGCAATAAACTATCGGAGTTCCCAACAATCAGGTATCATAAGGTGAAGTTTCCTACTCTGATGTAGTTTTTTCACAGAATCTTGAGAATAGACTACTGATACCACATGCTCACTGTCTTCCTCCAAGAAGAGAAAGCAGGTGGTTGCCAAGTCCTATGATATAGATAACATGCTCATGTATTACTTTGCTCAGTAATGAATCTGCCTTTAGTACATTTAAATAATAGTTTCTTCATAAATTCACACACCTTTCTCTAAAGAGTTTAAAGTGAACTTACTAATATAGCAATCAACACTGAGTATGTAAATAAAGAGTTTCTATATTCCAGCTCTAGTCAGATTAGATTTTTGAAAATTACACTACTGTGCAACATTCCAAGCTGTGGTACAGAACACAGCATTCTACATAGTTCTGGTTCAAGAAATATGATAACCATAAAACTCATAAACTCAGTAAATTCTGTCAGTTAACCTGGGTTCAGTTTTTTCTATCTAGATAAAAACATGGTCTTGTCTGTTAACTTAATTTTGCCAACAAAAAACACATGGAATTTTGAACCTTGACAGAATAATACTTATGTCAAGATAACAGAGTCAGGACTTGAAAATTAAAGACAATTATCGATACTTAGTTTCAAAAAAATGTATATGTGTTTTAAAGCTATCCCCAGCCCCCCCCCCCACCAAAAAAAAGATTCGAACAGGAAGTTTATATGAGCAGGACTTAATCAGTTCCTAACAACTATTAAGTACAATTTTTTGGAAATTAATTTGCATAATGCTCATCTACATAGGGTAGGGCTGAAGTTATTTAAACGACATTACATGCCACTATCTAGTCTTGCTCCACCACTACTTTAGCAGTGAATCCTTATGAAATGTAATGCAGCTAATGAGGTAGCTTTTTAACTGAACGAACTGACAGGCCCCATATCTGCAGAGGCAGCTTGAAACCGTGCCCAACCTCTTGGCTTCCCAAGAGGCTTTTCAAAATTCAATAAATAACATCTGTAGGCGATGTTGGGTGCAGACCTAGCAGAGTGCGTCATAACACTGTGCTGGCAGAACAAAGAAACCATGACGACTGCCAAGTTTCCATGGCAACTGCTGAGAGGCTCTGAGAGTATAATAGCACATCAATCACTGTCCAAAAGAACTTCATTATCAGCTAGAAAAAACCTTTAGGATCTGTTTAGTGTGCAATTGTGGGTTAACTCACCTCAAAGCCTTGCTCTCTAGCAAAAGTGGCAGCTTCCTGAAATAAAAAAAAAAAAAGAACAGTTAATTATAAAGTGCGAGGTAATGAAGAAATAATCCATTTTGAAACTCATTCACAGTCTTCTTTTTACAAAATTATCTCAATATACCCACATAGTTCAATTTTTATTCTTACACAAAAAAAGATTTATTTTTCCCTTGGCATAAAAAAAAAGGGCAACATTATGTCAACATACTTCACAAGTTGGAATAAAGATGTAGTGAATGTTTTTACTGTAGCTGTCACAGTGAGTTCAGGTGTTTTGACCCCAACAAAGAAAGACAATTATTTGAAACCTATGGAACACGCCTGGTGCTTATGTTTTTAATTAAAACAGTATCTTTCAGAAAGCTCTTCTGTAGAAGAATGTCTGCTAGTAAACGTATAGATTAAGAGAAATCACCATTTTGCAATCTCTAATGAAATTTATTCAGGCAAGGATCATCAATGGATGCTAAATTCATTAGGTGAAAGGATGATGGGGAACTGGGTATTTCATGGAATTAAAATGTCACAGATTATGTGTTGATCACGGGGAGCAAATTATAAATTTATAATGGAAGGAATGAGCTGTCATAACCTTAACCCAGTGATTGATCATATCACTTATCATTAATAGTGGGGTCACTAATATTCTATTATGAGACAGTATGAAGTATCCAGCATCACCTATACAGTTTTCTGATGAAAATTTTTTTAAATGAATTAATCAAAACTTTAATTATATAACTTGCTGTCTATAGGAAATGCAGAGAATAGGAGAACAAGTTCAATGATATACTGAGAAAGCAAACAGACAAATCCATAGATGGGACATTTTACAGGATAAGTAGCTTGGTTTCTTCAATAAGTCAATTTCATGATAAAGTAGGAGGGGGAAAATGACCAAGAATACTATACAGACCTTAACTGGATTCTGTTTTGAATAAACCAGGTATAAAAGACATTTTGGGGACAAATGAAGAAATTTAAATATTTTAAGAATTAGATAATAATAAGAATTAACAAATTGATAAGAAAAATATCCTTAATTTTTAGCAGTTAGTCCTGAAGTATTTAGGGATGAAATGACATGATACTTATAATTTACTTTAGCATTCTTAAACAAATTAGAGTGAAGCAAAATGGCAACATATTAATTATATCTAGATGTATGAAGTATTTCTACTTTTTTGACTGTTTGAAAATTACAAGAAATAGTCCAAATAAGTCCCTATTTTACTTGGATGTAAGATGACAGGGTAACAAAAGTTGAACATTAAAAATATATAATTAAAACACACAATGTTTTTCTAGAATTAAACATCTTTAGGATACAATCTGATGAACAATTATTATACACCATAATGCTGTTGCAACAGGGTATCAAATGACAAAAACACTTCTATGCAACTAAATCCTCTCCCTTTCTCTACTCTGCTTTGTGCATGTATTTTAATGTTAGGACGAGTACAGAAAATGGAGGCAATATCCCTTTTCAACTCTACTTCCCTCTTGAAAATGAAAAAAACTGCAGACAACTGTCAAGAGCCTCTACATCTTAACTTGCATTCCTCCAAAATTATCTCTGCCAAGAGATATTAATAGAAGGATGGGATTTGAGTCCAAGTAGTGAGCAGATCCAACTCAACTGAAACAACGCTGCACCAAACCATGTAAGGCAGAAAGTACAGCCAATGTCTCCAGCACAGATTTGGGTCCTATCTACATGTTAAGGAAAACACTGGGGAAAAAGTATGTATGCACGGATGGTCCCATATACTAATAAAATATAAAGTTAAAGAACCATTTTGAGGGTTTAAAAAGTTTGAAATGGACGATTACAGCTGAACACCGAAGTTGATAGGAAGTGATAAGCTGAAAGTATAACTCCTCAGGCTGTTCACTAGAGAAGCATAGGGTGATCAATTTAGCCTCAGTAGTGTAGATGATACAATAGAATTTTGTAGACAACATAGTCAATAATATTTGCTGACCTAGATATCAAGGAAAAGGATAAAGTTCAAAAGATATCAATGTAGTATTTTTCCACGTTGTCCAATCCAAGAATTAACCAAGCTAATTCTTTCTTTTTTTTTTTTTTAATCCTCATCTGGAGATACTTTTTCCATTGCTTTTCATAGAGAGAGGGAGGGAGGTAAGAAGGAAGGGAGGGAAACATCAAATGTGAGAGAGACATATCAACTAGTTTCCTCCCGCACGACTGGGGGTGGGGAGCGAACAGCAACCCAGGTACATCCCTTACTGGGAATTGAACCCGTGACCATTTAGTGAGCAGGCTGACACTCTAAGCACTGAGCCACACCAGCCAGAGCACCAAGCTAATTCTTATATAAAAACGATAACTGAGCCCTAGCTGGGTAGCTCGGTTGGTTAGAGTGCCATCCCAATATGCCCTTGTTGTAGGTTCTACCCCTCCATCCCCAGTCAGGGCACATACTAAATTAATTCATGGTAAGTGGAACAACAAATAGATATCTCTCTCTCTAAATTCAATAAGTAAAAAAATTTAGAAAAAGATATCCGAAAAGCTCTGTTAGAAATACTTATTTATATGCAACTTTCAGAGGCATGAAAGAACCCCAAAGACCTACAAGACAAATATGAAGAATCTGTATGACTAAAATTGCATTAAGACACAAAAACTCAAAGTTCACATATGATAGTTAAATCGCTCTTTTAATGTCCAAATTTACTCATACAAACCTAAGAAGTAATTAACTGTGACCTGTTATGGTATAGTAGAACTGACTAATTGCAAGACACACATATAAATGTCAGATCATTATTCTTTAAAGGAGCCAGGCACTAGGACACTTGTCCATCTGTAAACTATTGCAAGTGCTAACATATTTCTGACTGAGGAAGGACATGCTGAAGAAAAGTCAACTCAATTTTCTATCTTAACATCCCCCTCACACAGATTTGCAGAACTGTGCCCTATCACTGAAAAGCTAAAGCACTTGTTCTATGACTTAAAAAGATCTTATCTCCTGACTTCCTCTCACCTTCCTTTGATCTTGGACGGGTGCCCCAGTCACTCCATTAGAGAAAGCAGATGGCTCATCTCACCCCCGACTTTCCCACCACAGCTAACCTCTGATCTGAAGGTGTCTGCAGATACATTGATGGAACAACATTTATTATTTTCCTCTCAGCAAAACAAATAAAACAACATAGGGAACAGTTTGACCCAGTAAGGATTTTAAGCAGAATTTTAGTGTTCAGATTCACTGCATGGAGGGACAGAAAGAAAAGGCATTAGGTCAGAAAGTAGGGAAGGAAAGGGGACATGGAAGAGCAAGTGGTCAGAAGAGGGAGAAGTGGGCAAAGAGTAAGGCCCATTCCAAATATCAAAAGTAATTCCAAGTGAACTGATCACACTAAATTGAAAAGGACTTTGTAGTGTGCCTTTGCAGTAAGAGTGAGAAAAGAAAACAAGCAAGTCCCCATCTGTGCTGCCCCAGGGCGCCACGTACTGAGTTTCACAAACCTAATGAAGCAGTCAGGTTAAAATCCAACCGCAGAGTGGATGTGTCATGTGGAGAAGAGGGAAGGTTAGAATAGAGAAGCAGGGCGGTTCCTAATGCAGGTGATTATCCATGTGATAATCATTATATTTACAGGCTTTCCATTTTAGATCTGACATCAGAAATCACAAAGGAGGAGGGATTAAGGAAATAAACAACCGACACAGAGGCTCTCCTGCTCCCCTGAGAGTGTAGCACTTTCATTCATGCATGACAAGCAACAGAAGCAAAATCAAACAGGCCAGGAAAGAGTATTTCTGAGAAGGCTGCATTTCACATTAACACTTCTTTCCATTTTGATAACTTTCACTATTATTCAGCTTCTCAGACAGGTTACATTTTCAGAATCAGTTCCCATTGTTGTCTATGCTATAATACAGTATCATTTTTGGTTTACAATGAATGATACTCACATCATATGTCTTTTACAACAACAAAGTCATTTTTTCCTTCCTGGAATAGAGTGTTGTGAATAAAATGACATATAATTAAAGTCTTAGATGTTCATCTACACCATGCCATTTAGGATTTGCAGTAGGCTCGCTGCTTCACTGACCAGGCTAAAAGGGTTCCAGTGAAACAACAACCAAATACAGTTTTTGAATGGAGGTTTAAAAAAACCCTAAAATTCATGGTTAATGAAAACTATGGAATACTTACGTTAAGAGCTATTTAAAGGGATTAGCAAGTCACTATTAAATAGCATAATCCTCAGATTATGCAGGAAAGAAAGGAGAAACTCAAGTGCTTGTTCGTGTGTATGTATGAAAGACAACTATCTCCTTTATAGTAGTTCCTCCTTATCCATGGTGTAGCTTTTTGCAGTTTCAGTTACATATGGTCGAAAACATTAAATGGAAAATTCCAGAACTAAACAATGCATTCATTTTAAACTGAGTGACGTTCTGAGTAGCATGAAGCTATCTTGAGCTGTCCTGCTGCATCTCTCCCAGACTCGAATCGTCTCTTTGCCCAGCTTATCACAGTGTACACCCTATCTGACCATTAGTTACTTGGTAGCCTTCTTTTTTTTTCTTTTTTTTTTAATATATTTTTTATTGATTAAGATATTACATATGTGTCCCTGTCACCACATCACTCCCTACCCCGCCCCCGCTCATCCCCTCCCCCCCCCCCCCCCCCC